TGTTCAGCCTTCCGGGACAGGATTATGCAATGGCTGGCTGTGCTCCCTCAGAACCCAGTTTGAGGTGATTCTGCCCAGACTAACACAAACAAGCAACAAGCATTTCAGGGCTTGTTGAGCTTGTCTCTATGTCAAGTGCATGGTCATCATTTTAATTGGATGTTCTTCCTCTTTGCTCTCTGGGACTTTGGGAACACCGAGGTACCCTGCAATGTCTGTGCAGCAGAGATGATAAAACATGTAAATCAAAGTTTCCAAGGTAACCTAAGACCAGGTAGAAGGCTTGCCTGCTCTTTCTCCCTGGAGTTGAGCTTATCAGATGTCAAGAAACGCAATGGGAGTAAACCTAGAAAGAGCTCTAGGAACAGGTGTTGGCATCTACTTCCTCCTCTTCCTCGTGTCTAAGGAAGCAATGGAACACACTTCACTCATTTCTTTTGGGTGATTTTCTTCTGATAAAATTGTCACCCTGCAAGAGGCACGGGGGTTTCCATACAAGCATTCTTTCTTGGCTTTGTGGGCCCTAACATTCACTCATATGAGTCCATGAAGATCAAGAACTCCCTGAGCCAAGGTAGCCAGAGGCTTGCAAATACATGCATGTATACACACACACACACACACACACCTCTGTTGTCTGAACCCTAAACTCCCTGAGCATCTAACAGTTGACACATTCAGTACTACATAAGAAAATGTTGCTAGATGTACAAATGTGTTAACCAAGATAATGACCCTCTTCTGTTATGTTAACACATGCTCCAGCTGGGAGGTGAAGAAACAGGGTACTGTGGTGTATATGATTTGTCCCCCGAGGGTTCAAGTGCTGGAGAACTGGTCTCTAATGTGGAAGTATCTAAAGGCGGTGGTAGGACTTTGAAGAGATGGACCCTGATGGATAGTGTTTGGGTGGTTGGAGGCATCACCCTCAGAAGGGATTAACTGTGGTTTCATAGAGTGGGTTGTCACTGATGCACAAGCCTGGCCTCTGAATCCCTCTCTGGCTTCTTTTCATCCTATGATCTCCCTCCTTCTCCCTCCCTCCCATGCTCCCACCATGATGCTGCTGTGATATAGCCAAGGAGTCGCTCCCTAGGCCCAAGTCATAGTTGCACCATGCTCTGCCAGATCTCTGAGCCACTTGGAGTTCCTATCTTTAGAAAGCTGCTAACCTCAGGTATATTTTCATGGCAACAGAAAGCAGACCACTCCCCAGGGCGCTTACAGGAGTACAGGATTCAGGTGGGAGGGAAGAGGCCTATGAAGTTCAGGGTGCAGATGTGAAAGGGGTCATTTCATCTTGCTTTTGGTTGGTATTTCAGCTTGGGTCCAAGACATTTGAGAGCAAGTGGTGGTGACAGGCACCCCAAATGAGTAGAGAGAACTGAGATGCAGTTTGGACACCATGGCTTCACGCCAATTCCTGTCCCTGACTCCCAGGACTTGGATACATCTCTGTGAGCCCAGAAAAGAGGAAGCCAGGTCCTGGGGGCCCTTCTTAGCCATGGTATTGCAAAGGCCACCAGTGACAATCCTCTTGACCTCTTGCTGGGCTGGCTGTCAGGTTTACCCTAGTGTTTCCCATGGAGGCCATGGGGCTCTGCAAGAACCCCCCAGCCATAAGAAATCCTGGGCCCAGATGAGCCCTCACTCCAAACTGATTACTTGCTAGATTAAAACCAGCAGTGCCAGGTGAAAGATCCCTGTGTGTCTGGGTTTGATCTGGACGCATCAGAATGACTCGTGGCAACCACAGAACTGTGTCCAGTCCTGTGGGCTGAGAAGTGGTTCTACTCCAGCAGTGACAAGCACACCTAATGCCTAGACCTTGGCTTCTGAATGCCATTTTCCTCTAAGGAAATCAGACCTGAGGCCAGGATTTTCCCTGGATAGCATGATAAGGGCCTGGAACATCTGAATTTGCAAGGGAGTAAGGTATTACCTGGTGACAGGAGCGTGTTGAAAAAGCACAGGCACCCCCGGGGGATTTCCCCCTGGACTAGCTGGGAACCACTTGGACATCAAAAGAAATGGTGCTAATAATGAATTGGAACATTTTAACTAAAGAAAACAATCTGTGAGTCCAGAGTGAATGACAATTACATGAGGTGGGCACGTGGTGGAGGGGGGCACTCCTCTGCAAAAGTCATGCCAGATAATAAATGTAGAAAGATAGAAAGTTTGGGAAAAATCACCACTTGGCAAGACTATGTGAAACCCACTCTAAGAAATTGTGCAGAAACACGGAATATACACACCGTGTCAGAATATCACCCCCACAGGGTGCTTGTTAAGCACAAAGGGTAAAACGGACCTTCACCAATTATGTATCTGACAAGCCCACCTCAACCTGGAATCAAACCCGGAGCCAGGGGTAGAATCACCTGATATCTGATGCCCCCTGGTGGGGTTTTGTAGGAATGATGCAACATGGTCTCACGTCTGCCAAAAATGCTTAACTGGAATCTCAAGTGGTATCTACTTCACTTATATCATTCCTGAGCTAGTGAGATGGTGGCATAATTTCATAAGGACAACTGGAATGACCTGTAAATTACAATGCCAATGTCTTAAAGTCCCTAAAAAGCATGAGGATGCTCCCTAGTCTTAAAAAAAGCACAAGGCTTTTTAAAACTTCACAAAGTGTCATTCTCAATTGGATCCTGGGCCAGAGCACAGACTAGTTAAAAAATCCATTTCTGGGGGATGGAGAGTTGGCTCAGCAGTTAAGAGCACTGGATGCTTTTGCAGAGGACCTGTGTTCGATCCCCAGCACCCACATGGTGACTAACTCCAGTTCCAGAGGAATCCGATACCTTCTTTTGACCTCCACAGGCATTGTATGGCATGAGTGCACTTGCATACATACAGACATATAAATTCACACACATAAAATAAAAATAAATTAAAAAATTTGTTAAAAATCCATTTCTAGGCCGGGTATGGTGGCACACACCTTTAATCCCAGCACTTGGGAGGCAGAGGCAGGCAGATCTTTGTGAGTTCAAGGCCAGCCTGGTCTACATAGTGAGTTCCAGGACAGCTGGGGTTACAAGGAGACCGTGTCTCAAAAAAAGCCAAAAAAAAAAAATCCATTTCTGAGATAACTGTGGATATTTGAAAATGAGCTTTGGACTGGCTAGTCTGCTTTTGGTTTTGCTTTTGGTTTTGCTTTTGGTTTGTTACTTAGCTTGTTGAGACAGGGTCTCCCTGTAGCTCTGGTTGGCTTAGCACTCACTATGTAAACCAGGCTGACCTGGAACTCACAAAGATCCCCCGCCTCTGCCTCTTGAAGTACTGGGATTAAAGGCATGTGCAACCACACCTGGCAAGACTGGCTAGTCTTGCATTGATGCTATGTTTCATGAAAAGTGTATGTTTTGTATGAAAACATTCCTGTTCTTCCAAGATATGTGCTTGCATATTTAGGGGTGAAGTGTTATGTTATACCACTCACAACTGGTGACTCCAGGACTGTGGGTGTCCATTGGGTCCTAGATCAACAATTCTGCAATTTTTAGATTTTTTTTCCAGACTTAAAATTTTAAGGTGAGAAAAATAGTAGCAACAATAAAACACCCAGAGCGATTGAGTGACTTATCTAATAAAATTATCTGAAGCTAAGATTCCTCTCTCTGGACTTTGTCCAAACAAATGAAGGAGATGAAGATGGGCCTCAGTCCCTGGGTTGGGGGTGCTGGCATACAGTCCTTGTGGGAGTTGGCGAATGGAGAGATAAAGACAAGGTGCACACTGCCATCTAGCGGTCAGAAATGGTCACCGCTCCGTTGCTTCTGATTTAACTCATGTATTGGTACCTTTCCCACAATCTCTACGGTTCTTACATTTTCCCATTTGTGAAACACTAATTTTTGTTTATATTTATGTCCCTGTAATTTTAAGTTGTGGATTTTCAATTTCTCTGGAGAAATAAGCTAAAAAATCAGATTTCTTCTTCACAGAAACCTAATTGAATCCCAAATTCATTAGTCTAGAAGAAAAAGTCCTGCTCTTATGTATTTAACCAGGACCTGTTTGCTGCCCAACAACAGCAAACCACTGGGATTTCTGACTTCCTCCTGTGGAAAGAAACAAAGACCAGCCACATGAGGAAAATATTTGTTCTGGGCTTCCCACAAAGGGATTGGACTGTCGCTTGAATGTGGCAGAACTCAGAGCCACTGACTGGGGAAGCCTCAGCAGAGCAAAGGGGAGGTTTCCTTGTGTCATCCCTGGAGGCTGTGGACCAGGAAAGTTGGAGGCCTTGCTGGAAGTAGGGTTCTTGTGGGACTTGCTTAGCTTTCTCAGGTTGATCCTAAACTGGAAGCAGGCACAAAATTAGGGAAGCTGTCCATTATTAATAGTATTAATATTAAAGTCCTGGGTGTTTGCGTCTGATGGTTGTAGAAGAGATTGGTGAACTGGCTGGGTTGTTACTATAGATAACAGTAGCTGTCTGACTTCCTGGGCTGTTTGCTACAGCTAAAGGGGTTGGTTTCCTGGGCAGGTTACCGTGGGCTGTGAAATGGAGCTCTGCCATTCCAATGTTTTCAGCACGGCCTTGCACAGTGCAGGTGGCTGCAGGTGGCAGCAGCCCAAATCACAGAAAGAGAGCCATGGAAACAGGTCCCAGACCCATATTTTGGGCCTTAGTCCTCATCCCATTTGGAAAGTGGTCCTCCAAGTTTCAGTGGGCATCCTTTGAACCCAGGCTGCTGTGCTGCACGTGTGATCAGACTCTAGCACCTGCTGGAGTGTGACTTGGAGCCATGCACAGATTACCTGTGGAACACATGCACAGATCAGACTAGCCGCCTCCTCTGCTAGCTACATGGTGGGTGCTGGGGAGACAAGATAGCCATGGTCTTGGTGCCTCAGGATAGGACTCCAGCGAGGCTGGGTACATGGACTCACAATTGAATGAATCACCTTTTATTCCAGGCCCACCTTGGGCCTAGACTCAGCTTTCCCATGTGCCGTTCCTTTCTTTCCAACCCCAGGCACTTCGGGTGAGATGGTCCCATCTCAAGTTGCCCTGGGTGGATCTCGACTGGCTCATAGACATCTCCTGCCAGATCACAGAGCTTGATCTCTCTGCCAACTGCCTGCCTTCCCTCCCCTCAGTCATCCCCTGGGGGCTCATCAACCTGAGAAAGCTGAACCTCTCAGACAACCACCTGGGGGAGCTGCCCTATGTGCAGTCATCTGATGAAATCATCTGTTCCAGGTGAGCCCAGGGATGTGAACAGGGCGCCCTGTACCCCCACCTGCCACCACTGCACTTCTGTACAAGTTCCTTGGTTGCATTTTGTGCACTTGAAAATTAAGTTCTGGGTGCAGTGAAGAAGCAAGGCCACAAGGTCTCTGCCCCTTATGAGCAGAGAGGCCTGACAGGCTGGTATGGCCTAAGGTTGCACAGCTTACTCATAGCCATGCAGAGCTGCTTAGTCAAGGCACACATCTCAGTCCTGCACAGAATTGAAGGAAGGTATATAGAAGCTTCCTGGGGTAGTAGAAATTTTGTTTCACCTCCTGGGAAAAGTTGAATGGAACTCAGGAGAGGGTCAACACTGGGAATCTGGCAGCGAGGGGGCAGTGTGTTCCCCTGCCTGCCTTTTCTAGAGGCCTGAGTCCTGAGGTGGCATGGGAGCAGAAGGAACTGTATTAGTTTCTTTTCTCATGACTCTGACAAAATACTCTGACAAGCAACTTTTAAAAGGGTCTATTTTGACTTCACAGTTTGAGAGATATGGGCCATTGTGATGGGAAAGGCATAGCCACAGGAGCAGGAGCAGGTCACATTGCATCCACAGTCAAGAAACAGAGAGATGAATACTGGTACTCAGGCCAGCAACCCAGCCCATAGAATGATGCTACCTGCTTTCAGGGTGGGTCTTCCCACCTCAACTAACCTAGTATAAGCAGTCCCTCACGGACATGGGCTATTTTTTTCCAAGGTGATTCTAAATCTTGAAAGTAAAAATGAACCATCACAGGACTGTACTTGATGGATTTCTTTAGGAGATAGGCTTCATCACATAGGAGATTTGAGCTTACTGCAAAAGCTAAGGCTGGGGCTGGTAAGACGGCTCCCTAGGTAAAGGGGCTTGCTACCAACCTGACAACCTGAGTTCAACCCCTGGAGTTCACATGGTGGAAGGAGAGAACTGACTCCCAAAAGTTGTCCTCTGATCTCTACACGTCTCATGGCATGCGCATGCTTGTGTTCACACATGCACGCATGCATACACACACACATATATACACTCACTAATAAATACAATTTTTTAACCTGGCTCAGATGGGTGAATCTGTAAGCTCTAAAGGTTGAAGTCCTGCTCTAAGACCTGAGCGGAGAGCAGAGAGCAGAGCCACCTCACATTGCTGTGACATCATGGGGGAGGTTTTAATCCCTGGATGTTTGGCAGAACCAGGACCCACCAAAGACAGATTCGATTTCCTTTACACTAGTCATAATAGTTCATCAATGAATGAAAAGCAGAGATCCTACTTTTTTGGTGTGTTTTCTTTAACAGTATATGCAAAGAGACAAAGCACACCTTGCTTACAGAGACTCTGTTAAGTGTTTTTGTTGCTCTTCTGATGCCACACCTTCCTTCTCCCCAACCCCAGGTTACTTGAAATTGACATTTCCAGCAACAAGCTGTCCCACCTTCCGCCTGGATTCTTGCACCTCTCAAAACTTCAAAAACTGACAGCTTCAAAGAATTATTTGGAAAAGTTGTTTGAAGAAGAAAATGGTATGTTTCCTCACCAGTGACCTGGTAGGATCAGTCACTTCCTTGCTGATCAGGATATTTTTGACAATCCATACTCTTCCTCCCCAGCCACTAACTGGATCGGCCTGCGGAAGCTGCAGGAACTTGATTTATCTGATAATAAGCTGACCGAGCTCCCTGCCCTTTTCCTGCACTCCTTCAAGTCGCTCACCTATCTGAATGTTTCCAGAAACAGCCTGAAGGCCTTTCCAGATCCCTGGGCCTGCCCTTTGGTTAGTATCATATCAAAACCCATAACAGCAAGACAGGTCTACATGCCTCTCCATACATTCTCACTTCATCTCTTTTGGGGTCACATTGTGTGTCAGGAGTGGTGTTCCCAGTTGTAGCTGAGCAGAGTCCCTCAGCACTCAGTCAGGCTATATCCTGAGCAGGTAGCACCTATAAGCCAGCCCACCTGGTCCCAGAGTCTAGGGACACACAATTGCCCCCACTGAGTTTTCTGCAGTATCAGCTTGCAACCTGACACAGAATGATTCATCTGCCCCTTCAAGGATAGTGCAGGCCCTGGAGAGATGGCTCATTTGATAAAGTGCTTGCCACACAAGCATAAGGATCGAATTTGATGCCTCAGAACCCCTGGGAAAAAGCCATACATGAGGCAGGGAGGTGGCTCAGTGCATAAAGTACTTGTTTTACAAGTATCGGGACATGAGTTCAGATCCCCAGCACCCAGATAAATGCCATGCAGGTGTGGCAGCCTAGCTGTTCAGGAGGTGGAAGAGATCCCAGGGCAAGCTGGCTAGCCAGACTAGCCAAATTGGTAAGCTCTGGGTCAAAGTGAGAGAGACTGCCTCAATATATAAAATGGAATGCAATCAAGAAAGAAACCCCAGGTCAACCACTCACCTCTGCACGCACACATATGTACACACACACGTGAATATGCATATACACATTTACACACACACATAAAGGCAAGTGTGGCAGTGCATGCCTGTAACCCCAGCACTGAGGAGTGGAAACAAGCAGATCCCTGGGGCTTGTTGGCCAGCCAGTCTAGCCAGCCAATCAGTGAGCTCCAGGTTCAGCAAGAGATCCTGTCTCAAAAAATAAGGTGGGGAGCAATTGAGGAAGACACCTGACATCAACCTTTGGCCTACACACACACACACACACACACACACACACACACACACATATACCATAAATACATACACAAAATAAAATGAGTGATGCACAGCATTGCCCACAAAAGGAGGCTTTCGTTTCTTGGGAATTGACTTGTTGAAACAGATGCACTAGTATAAAGAACACTTGTGCGCTATGGCTGTTGGTTGCAAACCAGGAAATTCTCCATCACTAGAATTAGCATTTCTAGCTTGACTATGTATATGTGGGAAAGTAAATCGGTCTGTTATTTCCCAGGACAATGAGCCAGATGTTCTGGAGGAAGAGGAAAGATTATGAGCCACCTTTGTCTCCCCAGGAAACTCCTGCAGGGCTGGACAACATGGGCAAGGAGAGTCCTGGCTTCTCTCCTCACCCAGCCTCACTGCTGCAGAGCCCTGTTCCACTGGCCTCACTTCTGACATCAGTTTGCAAACAGCCTTCTAGGCATCACTATGCTAAAAGAAGTAGTTAATATTCTTCCTCCTTTTCCTCAAACCCCTAGAAATCTTGCAAAGCCTCCAAAAACATCTTGGAATCGCTGCCAGAAAAAATGGCTGTCTTTTGGAAAAATCACCTTAAGGATGTGGATTTTTCAGAAAACATGCTAAAAGAAGTTCCTCTGGGTCTTTTTCAGCTTGATGTAAGTCTGATAGCACTTCATTTCTCACTGTTGGTAAGAAAAATCACTCCACACTGTCAGAGAATCTATGTGCTTTCTCTGTGTTTAGGAGATAGGAGGAGAAAAAAGTAAGGATAGATTTGGCTATCAGAAATGTGCATGGTCATGAACAAAGATGGAGGGAGGGGAATGCTTGCCATGGGAACAGCTGTGTTGAGGGTGCTTATTTCTCTGTGTTAGTCAGCTTTCCATCACTGCAGCAAACACCTTGAGATAACCAATTTAAAGTGTGAAAAGGGCTTTTCTTAGCTCACAGTTTGGAGGCATCAGTTCACAAATACTTGGGCAGGGCATCATGGCAGGAAGCACATAATAGAGCAAAGCTGTTCACCTCATGCCTAGGACCTGAAAGAATAAGAAAGTGGAAGAGGTATAGTCCTAATATCCTCCCCAAGGGTATACTCGCACTGACCAGAATACATCCCACCAGGCCCCAGCTCATAAAGGTTCCACCACCTCCTAAAAAGTAAAGGACTAGCATTCAAGTTTGTTTGTTTTTTTGTTTGTTTGTTTGTTTATCATATCAATCTTTAGGGAACATTCCAGATCCAAATAGCAACTCCCAGGACTTTATCTCATGATAAAACTTTTGTTTTGTTTCTAGCAGTACTGGGGATTGAACCTGGGACCTTGTGCATACTAGGCAAGCACTCCACCACTGAGCTACAGCTCCGGCCCTTCATGTTAAAACTTTAAGCCTCACTCAGAAATTCCTCCATCCTGTCTCTCGCACTATCTTTTCCCTGATCCTGGGGATCACACTGAGACAGAAGCACCTTGAACTCAGAAAAGGGATTTTGTACCCAGAACACCATTAGCTACTACCTGCGTGGGACCCTGCTCTCTCCAGGGCTGTTTGTGGGTCTTCAAGCTGGCTGTGGGGCCCAAGACCATCTCCAGAACAGGGGTTTGTTAATATTCAGTAAAGGTCTCAGGGCCCATCCTTGGGAGAGGAGGGTCATGGTAGACTCATACATTACGCAGGCAAAGTGGCTATGTTGGAGCACACAGGTGCTGCCTCCAGTCTTGACTGACCAGCTGCTCAGACCATCCAGAGTTGCCCAAAGGTATCAAGGGTCACTTTAACATGCATATCTCAGAAAGGAGGGGCATCAAGTCATGAACCAACATGTGACAAAGAGAGGAGCCCACACACATACACAGCCTGGGCAAGGAACCCACACACATACACATCCAGGGGAAAGGAACCCACACACATACACAGCCTGGGCAAAGGAACCCACACACATACACAGCCTGGGCAAAGGAACCCACACACATACACATCCAGGGGAAAGGAACCCACACACATACACAGCCGGGGGAAAGGAACCCACACACATACACAGCCGGGGGAAAGGAACCCACACACATACACAGCCGGGGGAAAGGAACCCACACACATACACAGCCGGGGGAAAGGAACCCACACACATACACAGCCGGGGGAAAGGAACCCACACACATACACAGCCGGGGGAAAGGAACCCACACACATACACAGCCGGGGGAAAGGAACCCACACACATACACAGCCGGGGGAAAGGAACCCACACACATACACAGCCGGGGGAAAGGAACCCACACACATACACAGCCGGGGGAAAGGAACCCACACACATACACAGCCGGGGGAAAGGAACCCACACACATACACAGCCGGGGGAAAGGAACCCACACACATACACAGCTGGAGTAAAGGGAGCCACCCAGGATCACTGCTGAACAAGAATCCATGTCTCTGCTGCCCACAGGGACCTCCTGGCCATGAGTTCTTATCCATACCACCTCCCTGTTCTGAGTCTGTCATTCACACCAGTACCTTGCAGTGTAGACACAGCCAGCCCAGAGGGATGGAGCCTTGCAGAATCTTATCACTGGGCTCTGTGGAAGTCCTGTTTACTCTTGGTATCCTTGTCCTCCACATTGCAAAATTGGAAAGCCTTCACATCTCTAACCTCAGCCCTGGGCCAGGCACATGGGGAGGCCTTCATAGAAATTCAGAGGACAAATATCATCCCAGTTCTGAGGGTGAGTGGTGGTGTCAGCCCTTCAATAAGGAGAAATAAAGGCCCTCAAGTAAGGACTTCGGTGTGGTACACCAGTATGGTGGCCCAGAACCATAGAATTGTGGATAGGATCTGTGATGATGTTCTTAGGAAGCATTACCGTGTGTCTCTGGTACTTCCATTAAAGAAAGATGTTACAAGTACCCCTCTGTGTGGGCCTGCATACAGCAGGGCACAGGGATGTGAGGACCGCAGGGACCCCATGCTGGACATCTGAGAACATGTGGCTGGGGCAGGTCACCCATGGTATTGGTGTCTCTCTTCCTTTGTCCCTGAGACTTGGAACCACCCAAGGAGGAGGTCACCAGGAGGTAGCAGGTACTCAGCAACACACTGCTCCCCTAGTGGTACTGTGTGTGTACCAGGCAGGTACCCTTCCAGGAGAGGCTTACCCCTAACTATGACTCTTAAAAATCTCTGATCTTGGGCTGGAGAGACGGTTCAATGATTAAGAGCACTGGCAGCTCTTCCCGAGGACCAGGTTTTGGTTCCCAGTACCCATATGGTGGCTAAAAATCATCCATAACTCCAGTTCCAAGGAATCCAAGCCCTCTTCTGACCTCCACAGGCATTGAACACATGCAGTACACTTATATACATGGAAGCAAAATACTCATATACATATAATAAAGATAAATAAAATACTTGACCTTGGGATGTGCTTAGATTTCTATTCTACACTGGTCTCTCATCCATCTTGAGGGAAGGGCTAAACACAATGTCTGTCAGCTCCACCTGAAACAATTTGGGGAGTTTCATAAGTAGGAATAGGCTGTGTCTTGTCAGGGAACTAACTGATATCTCGTAGTCTCCTCTCTTTTCATATTTAATGCCACCTTTACCTCTCCCTCCTCCCAGGCCCTCATGTTCATGAGGTTACAGGGGAACCAGCTGGTGGCACTGCCACCTCAAGAGAAGTGGACTTGCAGACAACTCAAGACCCTGGACCTCTCCAGAAACCAACTCGGCAAGTAAGCAGGGGTCTCTTTATCCCCAAATGTGTTTAGAACCACAGAGAGGGGTCTCCACGTCCCCAGAGGTATACAGAACCACAGAGAGGGGTCTCCATGTGCCCAAAAGTGTGCAGAACCACAGGAGTGTCTCCATATTTTCAAATGCGTGTATTGCTGCAGTGAGCAGACCCTGGAGAAGGCACCTGAGCCAGCTGCCATACCACACTTAGAATGAGATGGCAGTCTTACACAACAGAATAGCTGCTCACAACTGTGGAGGCTGCAGGTCTGAGATCAAGATGTCAGCAGGTCTGGTCCCTCCTGAGGCCACCCTCCTTGACCTGCACATGCTGCCTTTCCTGTGCATTTCTGTGATCTTCCTCTATGTTGTCAGCTTCCGAATTGCCTTGTTCTTTAAAGACACCAGACATATTGGGTTAGGGCCCATCCTAACAAACTCATGTCAATTTAATCACCTCTTTTAAGATCCTACTTGTTGAGTATCCATTATTCAAAATGCTTGTGAACAGACGCATTTCGTTTTCTAGATATTTTTAAATTTTGAAATACACACATATGCATAGACCCAAGTCTAAACACAAAATTCATACATGTTTCATACAGTCCTTACACGTATAGCCTACTGGCAATTTCATGTAATACTTTCAGTGCACCTGAGTTTTAAAGGTGACCCAACTCTGAGTTCAGTGTGGAATTTTCTCCTTTTGGCCTTGTGCCAGTGAGCACAGAGTTCTGATTTTGGAGGAATTTGGATATTAATCTTTTGGATTAAGGATCCTACCATGTGAGTTTTCCTGGGAAAGGCAAACAAGTATCAATTCCCGCAGGTAGGACAGACCAAAGAAAAATTCCACCCAAGTCTAGCTTGAGGAACTAATGAGGGTGACTCTAAGGCAGCCGTATCACACCAGCATAGGTGTCCGCTCACAAAAGCTGCACCCCCACCCAACTTGGGGCAGCTCTGCCAGAGCGTTGTCATCATCTGAACCCCTCCCAGCAACAATTGTTACTACTTATATAACCTTGGGGGTGGGCAAATCTTGTAACTTTCATGAACTTCCTGAGTCTTGTAATTTTCTGGGTCCAGTGTTCCAATTCAGAAGGAAATAACTTCACAATAGATAATTAACCCATTTCCAAATACAGTCATTTCTGAAATCCTAAAGGTTAACACTTCAACATATGAATTCTACAGGATGCTATGCAGCCATGACAGGGCCCTTCCATCCTTAATTGTTAAAATCTGGACCATCTTGTCTCCACCTCAGCCTAGACTTTAATTCTACAATCTTTTTTTCCAGCCACTGATGAACATGTGTATAGGAGGAATAAAATGCACTCATCCAACAAAAAGTGAAAGGTTGGGTATGAGCCCTGGAGAGACCAGGCCCTCGGGGTCATTGGCTGGAGGTCACTTTGTAGCATCTCAGCAGACCATACACCCAATGGCAGCTTCCCATAGGCAGTGTGCGATGTGCCAGACATGGGAATGTGCCAAGCACAGCAATACTATTGCCTGCCTGAAGTGGGAAAGTCAGACAATAGGAATCATCACGTGTGCCATTTAGATCATCCTTGCTAACTGCTTCTCCAAAAAGGTCCTCAAGCGCCATGTAAGCTGCAGGGAGCCAAACAGCTGCTGGAATTTTCTGCCTTCTCCACGGTTCTAAGTTATATGGCCAGAGACAATATAGTGATGTCTTTGTCATACTGTCCCCAATTCTTAAAATCTTTTTATTGAGCTTTTATACATTTCATACAGCAGTCCTTAATCAAATTTAAACCCCCTCTCTCATCCATGCCTACACACACACACGCACACACACAGGACCTCAGGTATTCCACCATATATGTTAATCCCTATCCAGTAAAGTATTTGTACATTCGGTGCAAGATTTCCTTTAGTGCAGATTCCTTCACTGGAGTCTTGTCAGCCTATCTAGAGATCAAAGAAGCTTTTTGATAGACACTACTGCAGAATCTCACAACTGGTCATACACAGAGAATAAAGGTCTGAGAGACGACCAGTCCTACGTGCCATATCTACAGTTGAACCTCTACACCTAAGGCTCATGGAGCATACCAGAACAGGGTGTAGAGAGGAAACTACTGCCCTCAAATTTTGACTGTACCTTTTCCCCTCTACAGAAATGAAGATGGGCTTAAAACAAAGCGTATCTCATTTTTCACCACCAGAGGGCGCCAGCGTTCAGGGACTGAGGCAGGTATGTGCTGGACTGGGAAGATGGTGGGATGGGGAGATGAGGCACAGCTGGGTAACCTTGTTTCTACTCCACCAGACAGGGACTCATCATAGGTGGGACTTTTCCCTTCACTTTTGTGTTGGCATCTCAGACACAGCCATGGTCAGCTGAAAGGTCTGCAAGTGAATGTTGACTGTTACACAGCCACCTCTGTGTATGCCAGTTTCCTATGGCCCTGGCTTCCCACCCAGAGCCCAGCAATGCTAGCAGCTATCTGCTACATGATAAGCACCGTCCTAGAAAGACATGTTACAAGCACAAGAGGCTCAGTCCTCATTTGAAGTATCCAGTGGCATCCATGTTGCACCATGTGGAAATGGAGGCTCCCTACATGCCTCAGTCAGCTCAGTTTGCAATAGCAAAACACCATAGATCAGCAACTCACCCAACAGACATTTATTCTCACAGTTCTGGAGGCTGGAAGCCAGGTCATGGTGCCCACAAAGTTGGGTTCTGGTGGATCAGAACTTTCTTTCTGATTTGCCAACAGCCACCTTCTCACTGTCCTTACATGATGGAGAAAGTCTTTCACTTCTTATAGGGATGTTCCTGTCATCATGAAGACCCCACCCTCATGACCTCAACTAAACCTAGTAGCTTCCCAAAAGCCTGTCTCCAGGTTAGGAATTCCTGACTTGTTCTAGGTCGTGTGGCAGAACCAGGCTTCAGCCCAGATTGTGGTAGTTTACTCCAGGGATAGGACTAGTGATTTTAAGTCCTTCCTGCTAAACTGTGGTATCTGCTGATGTCCATAAGAGGCAACAGTCACATTGACCTCGAAGGCTTAGGTTGTAGAAGGGCTTGAGTTTCTCTCCTGTGCTTAGGAAGTGGCCTTCCAGAGTTTGTTCTTCGTAAGGCCAGTTTGAGGTGGGGGGAGGTATCTATAGGGAAAGATTCCTCTTGTTCTTGCTCTTCTATGATGTTCAGGGAAAGCCATCCCCCCCATGAAAAACAGTTGGGCTTCCTCCTTCACCTCAAGGCCAAGGCTCCATTCATTTTCCTTTTGCTATAATTGTGTGTGTGTGTGTGTGTGTGTGTGTGTGTGTGTGTGTGTGTGTGTGCAGATGGCAGGTACATATTTGTGTAGCCCAGAGAGAACAACCTTTTTTATTTGACATGCTCTCTCACTGGCCTGGAGCTCAACAGCTCAACAAGCTGGGCTGACTTGCCATCGAGTCCCAGGAATCCACCTGCCTCTGCTTCCACAGTGCCGGCATTACAAGTGTGTCCTACCATACTCAGCTTTTTAATGTGGGTTCTGGGAATCAAACTCGGTTCTTATGCTTGCAAGGCAGACATTTAGCAGACTGAACCATCTCCCCAGTCCACACTTTTTGTAGTTAAAGACTTAATTATTTTTATTTTTATGTGTGTTTGTCTACCTCTATGTAAATGTACCACTTGCATGCCTGGTGTCCATGGAGGCCTTAAGAAGGTATAGAATTTCCTGGAACTGGAGAAATGGTTGTTATCTGCCATGTACTCTTAACTGCTGAGCCATCTCTCCAGCCCCCTGCTTTATTTTTAATAATCACATAGTAATTGTGTGTATTTACATGGCACAATGTACCATGCACAATGATCAGATGCAACTGGCGTTTCCGTCACTTCAGACTGGCATTTTTTTGTGTTGGAAACACTTAAAATCCTCTCTTCCAGCAAGTTTGAAAGATACAATTAGTTGTTGTCAATGACAGTTCCCCTGCAGTGCTGTAGAACATGAGTAGTTACCCCTCCCACATGGCTGCACCCTTCTACCTGTATCTACCCTCTTTGTGTCTCTCGGTCCCTGTCCCCTTCCCAGACTCTGTTAACTGCTATTCTGTTTTCTATGTCTGTGATATCTACTCTTTGATCAAACCTGAGGCTTTGAAACCAACTAAACTCACAGAACTGTCCCTCAGGATGCTGTTCCATAGAACAGGAGCCAACATTTAGGTTATTTTTTAAAAGTACTGGAACTTTCCTTTGGCTTGAAGGGTTGAAACTGAGTAAAACAGATGGTGTGAGGTGGAGTTGAGAAATGCCACAGAGGTCAAGAGAGTTCGCAAGAAGTGAAATACATAGTCTGTCCACCTGTTGTACTTTGTGATGGTCTGGTGTGTACATGTGTATACGCACAACATGCTTATCGTTCAGTTGTATATGATAGAACATGTAACACACTATCAGTGGAACAGAGTCCAAACCTAGGCATAAATAAATACAGTCTACCTCACTGGGCCTGTGACATCCACTTCTGTGTGTTCAACCAACTGTTCACTAAAAATACTAGAAAAAAAAGTTGCACCTATACTGAATCTACAGACCTTCTTGTCGGTGTCCCCTAAACACTGCATTGTAACAACTATTCACACATTTACACTGTGCCAGTTTATAGGTCATTTTTAAATGATCTGAAGTACACAGAAGGATGTGTGGGGTGTTTGCAAATATGTTTGCATGTGTTTGTATATTTACATAAGAAACTTAAGCATCCCTGGATTGTGGCATCTGTTGCAGAGGGGTAGGGGAAGGCATCCTGGAACCAGTTCCTCAGCTATATTGAGAGACAACTGTAAGAATTTAAGATATGGAGACAGAGCGATGGCTCAGCTGTTAAGAGCACTGGCTGCTCTTCTAGAGGACCTGGGTTCAGTTCCAAGCACTCACATGGCAGCTAATAACCACCTATAACTCCAGTTCCAGGGGATTTGACACCCTCTTCTGGCCTCCATGGACACTGCACACATGTGGTGCACTTATGTATGTACAGGCAAGCACTCATACACATAAAATTAAAATAATAAATAAAATATTTGTAAAGAATGTAATACATGACAAAGGTGGCATTGTGATTTAGTAGAAAAGAATGCTTTACTGTTTTAACAAATAGTGTTGGTATGACCAGCTAGGAAAGGAGAAACACAACACTTGGGAGGGTGAGACAGGAGGATCCTGCAGAGGCTACATAGTGAATTCCAGGCCAGCCTGGGTTAGTGTGAGAGCATGTCTAAAAAAAAAGTATGTGAATTTTCCAGTGTTAATTCTTCTTTTCTGTTTTCTTTTTTATCCCGTCCTTACACCAGTGATAATAACGTCCTATGCATAACAGGATAAAAAAGAAAACAGAAAAGAAGAATTAACACTTTAGAAAATACTTGTATAATCTGGGGTTGGGGAGACCTTTAAAAGCTAGCTGGGATTATAGGGTGTGGGCCACCCTGACCTCAGAATCACTTTTAAAAGCCTTAAATCTCTGACTCTGTAAAAATTGAAAAGTTTTGTTTAGTGAAAGATATTATAAACAAAGGTATCATGCAAACAGGCTGACATGAGCTATTTGCCACAGAAATCACTGCAACACAAATTGGCACCCAGGTCTCTAATATACAAAGAATATGATAGACATATCAACCCCTTTAAGAAATATAAAGACATAAAGTTTGGGGAAATAAATCCAGACAGCTAGAAGACAGATGCAAATATCCTTTGCCATGCTAACAGGGAAATGCAATTATGAATTTTACAACCAGTTCTTTTTGTTTTGCTTTGTTTTGTTTTTTCTTGCATACTCAGATGGAACTCAAGGCCTCAGGCATGCTGAGCAAGTGCTCTACCATTAAGCCATACCCTCAGCCCAGCTGGTCTCTGTTTAAGTGAAGGGCCTTAAGATTTTAGCAATTGAGTGCAGATGTAGGGATTTTACTTGGAAAGACAGAGAAACACTATCTTCTCCTGGTACCAAGTAGGAGATGCACATGTGTGTGGGCTGAGAAGGATCTTGGTCACTCAAACCATTTGCTGGTGACTGACCTTGTGTGCTGGGCTCACTGGACACGTGTCTTGCACTGGAACATGTGGATCTTTTCAGGGACCAAGTTTATGGCACTGGCCTGGCAGGTAGGCCCGTCACTCAGTGGGGCCAGCCACAACCTCTCAAAACTGCCACATAGGAAAGTCAAGGTGCACAGTGAGAAGCACTGTAGGAGAGTCAGGCAGCCAGGTGAGGAGGCCACACCTTGAAAGGTCCCCTGGCCGAGGGTGGCCATCGCATTGGCAGATGAAAAAAGCCACTTGATTTTTCAATTTCATCATGAAGCTTGAGGGCCACCCCTGAGTGTAATGACCAGTCCTCTTTCTCAGTAGTGTTATTCTCTCAGGGCTGTTGACGTAGAGGTAAAGAATTATCTATAAAAGACAACTTGTTTGCAGATGGATAGTTAAATTCCAGGGAGATTTACATACATCCAAGTGGTCTTATTTATGCAGTTGGCCTTGTCCAAAAATAATTTGGATAACAGTTTTTACGGTAAAATTCAGACCAGTGGAGTCATAAATAACTTATGAATAAATAATAACAGCTCATAAATACCTTGAGCTGCGTTCTCCCCAGCCCTAGTTTCCACAGTTTTCGACAGCTGGCCGGGTGTGTGACAGGTGTTGCCTCTGTTTCGAGCTGTGGCTCCTTATTACTCCCATCCGTCACTTAAAGAACTTTCATAAACACCAGGGTGAAACTTCAAACTTGGACAGCCCCAAGGCCAGGTGCTCAGACTATTCCCTCAGCAAGCAAGAAAGCCAACCCCTCTCCTAATAGATGTTCTCCCAGGAAAATGTGAAGCCCTTTCATTGAAGCAGGGAAAAAGAAAGCTTTTTTGAGCATCTTTCTACAGAACAAGGTCTAGAACAAAGCCATGTTCACAAGCCTGTTGCGGCTTAGTTCCACAGCTGCAGTAAGGTCCACCACAGTCACAGCTAGCTGGGCAAGTTTACTAATCAGTGATCTTAGCAGTCTAGCCTCATCTCTCCCAGAACATTCTCATTGCCTTCATTACTGCCACTCCATAGGTGGAGACAAGCCAGCGCTGCAAGGGGTGGTTGTATCTAGGTAACTGAACATGTTCAGCCCCACAAAAGAACGAGGGCCTCTCTATCCTCTACATCTTCTGCAACTGGCAAGGCAGCCAAGAGGGGACTTTGGCTCATCTTGGAGTCCCTGATTTCCTGTAGGCTATCCAGTCTACTCTCCCTGCCTGCCAGAGAAGGGGTGGGGGAGATGCTTCTGCAGTCTAAACATTTGATTCCCACTAGTGTGTATTTCCAGGCTCTGCATGGCATTCTTCCTCAGCACCAATGCTCCAATGCTGTGGAAACGGCAGATTTGACGTGATCTTAATGATAATCTCATATTTTGCCTCATGAATAAAGTTGCTTGAATACTAAAGAGCTGGCTGGTTATTCAGAAAGTGATATTTTAAGCAACATTTTAAAAATTAGCCCATAACATTATTTCTTGATTAATTAGCCTTTTCAATTGAAGAAGTAATACATGTACATTGTAAAACAAAATCTCCAAACAGCATCAAACAGTGTGGGGTGAAGACTCAATCCTCTAGTAAGTTCTTTCTCCACATTTGACTATGGAATTTCATGGTATTTGTGTGACATATCTGTATTTGTGTGTGTTATGTATCTATACATGCAGATAACACACATGTGCATATCTACAGATATTTTCTATCATGCCAACAAGCCTTCTCATGACCTGGTTCTGCACGTGGCTTTTTCAGTTCTCCAGAGAACTTGAGTGTCAGCTCATTCCCATATATGTGACCTGCTCTGTGCCTTGTAATAGCACATTATTCTATTGAATAACCAATCCCCTTCTGACATGTGGCAGTGGAGGACACGCTGGCTGTCCTTTCCTTGTCCTATTGCAATCAGTGTGCCACTCAGAGATCCTGTTCTCACATCCTTGTCACACAGCATGTAAGGATGTCTGTAGAATTAGACTTGCTGGGAAGGGAGATGAGTACTACAGGTTTCCTAACATGCTTTCCAGATGTTGCAGCTTTGTCTACCCACCTGACTTTCACACTGCAGTCGTCTAGAACTATTTAGAAACACAGTCTATTTTGACATTTCTTTGCAGCATGTATGTTAGAATTTCCAGCTTTCCTAAGTGAGTCTTTGGAAGTCCTTTGTCTGAATGACAACCACCTTGACGCAGTTCCTCCTTCAGTTTGCCTTCTCAAGAACTTATCAGAGCTCTACCTGGGAAAGTGAGTACATGTTGAGCCAGGTGCCAGCTGGGGGAGGCAGACATCCTTCCTTAAACACCAGGGGTCTGGGCAGAAAGAAGCCACTCACTTACTGAGAAACAGTAGCAGGATTTGCAGAACTGGGTGTGGCACAGGAGGTTGGGGGGAAGAAGATGAATGGCCACCCTTTGTTGCTTTGCTCAGAGTCCAGTGAGGAGAGCCACTGCCATTCACATATTGAACACTCACTGCCTGCCAGATCCTACTGGGGACTTTAAGCAGTGTGCAAAACTTGAGCACCATATAAAGTGTTACATTAATATTAAAAATGCAATATCTTGGGGTTGTAGAGATGGTTCAGTAGATAAGAGGGCTTGCTGCTCCTCCAGAGGACCAGAGTTCAGTTCCCAGCACCCACATCAGGCAGTTCACAACTGAGTGTAACTCCAACTCTAGGTAATCAGACACCCTCTTCTAGCCTCCATGGGCATCATCACACACATGGCATACACTCACACAGACACATACACATATACACATAAAACAAAAACTTAAATGCAGTGCCTTTTCAAGAGGAAGCAGTGGTCATCTTGATGTCATTAGTAGAAGAGACAGGGTAAATTGTGGGATAGTGGGACTTACTTTGAAGCTGAGGGGATTTGTAGAAGAGTACTTCCATTTCCACCACTGATGATCCAGGGGGAAAATATTGGAGTTAGTGTTTAAATAGGGCACTTGAAATTAGGGACCAAGGTGTAGGCTTGGGATGGAGGCTGACAAAGGCTGACAAAGGCTGCAGGCTGCAAAGGCTAATAGGAGATGTGGGCCTGTGTGTTTGTTGCATGTGTGTGTTCTCTCATGATGGATGGTTGACTTTAGCAACCCTGGCCTCCGGGAGCTCCCTCCTGAGCTAGGTCAGCTGGGAAACCTCTGGCAGTTGGATATTGAAGATGTGAACATCAGCAACGTGCCTGCAGAGATCAGGAAAGAAGGTAAAATTCCTCAGCCTTGTTCCCTAGTCACTGCCTTGGAAAAAATCAGTCAGGTCCCCTGCTGGTACCTAGGGATGGAATCAGTGGGTGAATGCACCTTGGGGCCCAACTCCAGCCTCAGTGTTTGGGAAGATGCTATAGAATTTTCTCTAAAGCAATAGCTACCAGTCTTGAGATTGAGAATGAGTGAACAGTTAAACGATGGCTTCCTAGGCAGCAAGGACATTGTCCTTAAGTTCTTGACATTCGCACTTAACCCTTGGGGTGTTTATTATCACCCCTTCCCTCTCCCAGATCCCTCAGCACACACAGAATTGTCACAAATTCTATTTGTGATAGAATTTGACCTCCTATGTGAGCACATTCCCTCTGTACATCAGCTAGGTGTTCACTTTCCCCTTTTTCGATTTCACATAGGCCCCAAAGCAATACTGTCTTTCCTGCGTGCTCAGCTGCGCAAAGCAGAGAAGTGCAAGCTGATGAAGATGATCCTCGTGGGCCCCCCACGCCAGGGCAAGTCCACACTCCTGGAGATCTTACAGACGGGGAGGGCCCCCCAGGTGGCACACAGCGAGGCCACCATCAGGACCACCAAATGGGAGCTCCAGAGGCCCACAGGCTCCAAAGCCAAGGTCAAGGATGTTGAACGGACAGTCCCTGTGGGTGGGAGGGACCTCCCTATGGGCCCTTCTTTATCCCCAGACATCCCAGGTGTTCTCAGCCTTGTGTCCAAGGCCCAAGGTGTTCTGTGCTGCTCCAGACCCCAGCTCCTGCCAAAAGTGACAAAGCAATTCTTTACATGACCTTGTAGTTTTTCTATCTTAATGAAGTTGAGGCTCTGGGCCAGTGGTTCCTAACCCTGCCTGTTCCCTGGATTCCCTTGGGTGGGGAGGGACTTTTAAACACAGCAGTGCTCAGCCTTCAAAGCTGGCTCAAAGACTTATATTCAAATGGGGTAGGGTAGGACTCCCCTAAGGCTAAGAACAAAGGCAATGAGACACCCCAGCATCTATCTCCCCCCACCCCCTAGCAAGGAAGCTGAAAAAGTGCCCCAGGAGTTAATCACTTGTCCTCCCTGGTTCCTGCATTCATTCAAGATCTGAAAAGTCCCATTGTATATCTGACTTAAAATGAACCCTTTACCAACCCATTCATCATCCTCTTTTTTCCATTCAGTACCACGCAATTGGAAACAAACTTTTCTTTTCTCTTGAAGCAGAAAAGAGCCTGTGGAATCTTGGGCATGGTGCTTGCATTAGTTAGTTTTGTGTTGCTGTGACCAAAATATCTGACAGAAACAATGTAAAGGAAAAATATTTATTTTGGCTCATTGGCTCAGAGGTTCATCCCGTGGTTACTTGGCCACAAGTGTTGAGAAGAACATCATGGCCGTGGGAACATGTGATGAGGACAGCTGTTCACATCATGGTGGACGGAAAGCAGGGAGTGACAGGAAGGGGCTAGAGATAATAGATCTCCCAAGGACCTGCCTCCTGGTGACCCACTTTCTCCATCTAAACCTCACTTCTCCAAGTTTCTAGAACCTCTTCCGAAAATAGCTCCACCAGCAGGAGACCAAGTATTCAAGACAAGCCTCTGGAAAACATTTCAGATTCAAAGCATAGCAGCTCCCCATCATGTCCACAGCATAAGGAGGCTAGCTTCTGAGTTCCACACAAGGCCATCCTTTCTGCTGTTTGTGTCTCCTCTACCCTGTGCTGACTCAGGGATCTGGCTTGCAGAAAGGTTTTTAGGGTAATAATGACCATGTCCAGATAGGGCCTGGTTTTCTCCACAGGCCCCAAGTCCAGTGCAATAAGAGGCAAGTTTCATTAGTGTTTTTCCTCATTAAGTCACCTTCCAAATCAGGGAAGATAAGATGGAGAAATGAAGCATGTCCTCTTAAGAACAAGGTCCTGTGGCTACGAGTATGACTCAGTAGGACAGTCCGTGCTTAGCATACACAGAGCAATGGCTTCAACCCCCAGCTCCCAAAATAAAAGTAAGAACAGGGACCTGCCTGGTAGGTTCAGAACAGTGAGATAATGAATACCAGGCACTCAGAACATACAGGCAGTGACTCTAGCTGACTCATGTCTGAAGGTTCGCTAAAATAACCAGAATCTTCTACAGTCCTTTTGGCTTTGCTTTTTTGACAATGACTCAGTCATTGTTTGCTCCCAGCTGTTCTTCAGCAAATGGGTGTCCCAGGCCTGGGGGTAATTTCTTTCTCCTGCCTTCATAAATCTCCCCTCCTCTGGTTGAAGGCCACTGCTGCTCTTGTGAGCACTGAAACCCATCTCTCTGTGTGGCTGACCTTTAGCCGGCTGAGAACAGCTGTCTGCTTTCATCTTTATACAAAACCAGGTCAGCATGTTGTCTGTGTCTTAGAGGCCAAAATGCTGCCTTGTGGAAATAAGTCCTGGTACAGCTGACTGCAGCCTTGGCTTCTCAGCCAGCTCTGAGCTCATGCAGCGATGGAGAAACCGCCGTTTACATAGCCTTCCCCAATTCCCACATCAGGAGCGTTTCCATCCTTGTTGGTGGGTGCTGCTCTGACCTACAAAAGTTTGGGGACACCGCCTGCATCTGGCCTTTACAAGAGGCTGAGAACCATGATGTTATGTGGGGGCCCCCTGAGGCAGACATCTCCCAACTGGGTCAAACAAGACAGAGCCAGCACAATGGCTGGTGATCTCCCCAGACACTCTGCTCTGTTAGCAGCAGATAGAAGCTCCCAGAAGTCCACCTTCATGCCACTGGGCCTGTTTCCCTCACCTGGATTGCTGGTTCCTAAGAGACACTCTGGGGCATCTGTAACTTTTTGGTGGCCATGTCTTTTTTTTTTTTTTAAATATGAATGAGGGTTTACTGTACCATGTACATACAATACCTACAGAGGCCAGAAGAGAATGTTGGATTCCCTGGAACTGGAGTTATAGATGGTCATTAGCTTCCATGTAGGAACTTGGAACTGAACCCAAGTCCTCTAGAAGATCAGCCAGTGCTCTTAACCACTGAGCCATGTCTCCAGCCCCCATGGCCTTATCTTTTTCAGACATATTCCAATTGTCCATTTTCTCATGATTTGCTCACTCCTTGGTCACTCAAATGCACCCCCTTTTGTGCCTTGTTGCTCAAGTAGGTTGAGTCCGTGGAGTTCAATGTCTGGGACATCGGGGGCCCTGCCAGCATGGCCACAGTCAATCAGTGCTTCTTCACCGACAAGGCCCTGTACGTGGTGGTCTGGAACCTGGCACTGGGGGAGGAAGCTGTGGCCAACCTCCAGTTTTGGCTGCTCAACATTGAGGTAAAGAGCCACCAGCCTTTCCAATTCTCTGGTCCCAGTGCACCCTAGGGTTCCATGGCTTCTCTTAGGCATTATGTGGAAGGAACTACAGGAGGGAGGAACACCAAGTATGTTGAAGGGCTCTTACCCAGGGCCCCAAAATCATGTGCCCCCTTGATTTTCATGTGGAGCACTCGAATGCCTCCTTAGGGTTGGGTGGTCTTATAATTTTCCTATTTACCTTTGACTTAAGAACTCCCCTTTGGATATACCCGGGGGGCGGGGTGTAGCACTTCCCTCCCAAGGTAAAGATGCCATTGTCCGGACACAGGTTCCTGCCTCAGATAGTCATGGAATGTCCAGAGGATCAGGCATCCTCCTCTTCATGGACTGAACTCGGCACCCTCTGCATGGAGGGGGAGTACCTCAAATGCCCCTCAGTTCATAACGGGCCCTTGAGGCACCAGCCTACAAGACTGAATGTAGCCCCCTAATATCCAGGGTTGACACACTTGTGCACCTAGGGAGCTGTTTCCCATGCTTTGTCAGGGAACAGATAAAGGACTCAGCTGTGGGGTTCTCTGTTACAGGCCAAGGCCCCAAATGCTGTTGTGCTGGTGGTCGGGACACACTTAGACCTAATTGAAGCCAAATTCCGAGTGGAGAGGATAGCAACACTGCGTGCCTATGTGCTGGCACTCTGCCGCTCACCCTCAGGATCCAGAGCCACAGGCTTCCCAGACATCACATTCAAACACTTACAGTGAGTGTCACTGCCTCCTGCTTGATGCTGCTTCCTTATGTGCTCTGGTTACCAAGATCCTATCTCTCCTGAGATCTGCTGCCCAGTGCTCCTGGGGCTCAGCTGGGCTCCCCTAGGCAGAGAATACCATCATGGGCAGGGGACAACCCAACCCACTGCATGACTAGAGAGTCAAAGCCTAGCTACCTACCCTGTGCTTCCTTCCTGGGTCCTCTCCTCCCATACCAGGGCCTGTACCAAGAATGCACAGCTCCTAAGGGACAAAGAGACACAAACTTAAGCAGCGTTTGTCCCATTGGCAGATCACTCACTGATCAAGGACAGACCCCTGGGGAGGGACATCCCAGTCCTTGCATTGGATCCATCTGTCAGGTCTGGAGCTTGCTGCAGAGTATAAAGAGGGAAGAACAGGCACAGATAGGACCAGCCATCCTGGGTGTGTTCCTATACTTGGCTCTTGTCATTGGACTTTCATAATGGTCCTCACATTGTAGGGGCTGTGCTACCCATTTTTCAGACCATGACACTGAGGCATAGTAAATGAGGTGAGGAGCCCCTGAGGAGAATCAATGTGTGCTGCTACCGTGGCTTTCAGGGTCTCACTGTAAGTTGAATTGCGTAGGCACAGGTAGGAAGGTCAGACTGGGGACCTGTCAGCCTGACACAGAATGTAGAATCAGGCTTTTGGGGACTCCTGGTATGCCCTGAAAAAGCCTGAGAGGGTCTGTAATAACAAAAGTGCTGGTTCTAGTTCAGAGCCACAGCTCCAACAAGAGCCTGTTCCTTCCCAGCTGGCACCTTTGGGGTTCCCAGTACCTCTGGGCTTTACTCTCCCTCTGTGAACTTGACACGATGGGAAGACAGACCAAAGTGACATTGTGAGGCACCCAGCAGAGAGCTGTGCAAGAGCAAGGCCTCCAGAACTTTCCTGAGCCTTCTGAAATGACTTCTCCAGACTTGCTAGTGTTTGAGACAAATCTCCAGGGAAACAGGGATGCTGTGTGCTCCAACACAGAGGGGTGGCATGAAGATTAAGCCCCAGTATTTTTGTACATACAGTGAGATCTCCTGTAAGAGTCTAGAAGGACTGGAAGGACTTCGGCAGCTGATTTTCCACATCACATGCAGCATGAAGGATGTGGGTAGCACCATCGGCTGCCAGAGACTCGCTGGCAGGCTGGTAAGTGTCCCTCTCATCCCATTAGGCCAGAAGGGCCTGCTTCCAACTGTTAGGATCAGCACTTCCCTCCCTCTTTGCTATACGGGACATGTCTGTGTTTAAGGTCAGCAGGGCCAAATGGGAACAGGGAAGGGTCATTTGAGTCTCACAATAGCCCTGGCATTATAGGGTCTGTTGTCACCCTGTATGTGTGTCTCCACAGAAGGCTGAGTAAGTGATACTCTGTCTCCTTGTTGCAGCTCCCATACTTTAAACAAGTGTCCTCTGGCCCAGGACTGTGATGACAGGGTGGGTGGGGGCTGTTGGAGCTGGCAGCGCCCCTTTGGACCTGAGGGACTTAGCCTCACCTCACCTATGCCCAGATCCCCAGGAGCTACCTGAGCCTGCAGGAGGCAGTGCTAGCCGAGCAGCAGAGCCGCAGCCTGGGTGATGAAGTACAGTACCTGACAGACAGGCAGCTGGAGCAGCTGGTGGAGCAGACACCTGACAATGACATCAAAGACTATGAGGACCTGCAATCTGGTGGGCCATGAGCGGGCACCCAGGGGGCAGGGGTGTGGGTGACTGCAGGCCAAGCAGAAGTCCAAAGCCTTTGAGGAAGGTGGAAAGAGCACCAGTGAACTGTAGAATCTTCTATACTTCATGTTCCACCTTGACCTTCAGCACAACAGGCGAGCAGGGTTACATGAGAGCGCCTGTGACTATCTGGTGCTCTGCCTGCTTTCAACCTTCCCCCAACACCCCCCATACACTTTCTCCTTGCTGTCATCTCTCCCACCTGCCTGTCCTTCCTTAGAGAACACACAGGAGCAGAGTGAACTTGTCACCACTTTCCAGGACTTCAATCCAGGAACACAGAGGGGAGTTAAACAACCAATACCAGTTCTCATAATTGGTGGCATTTAGAGCCTAAAATGTTACCACAACCACTGCAATGACAAATATTAAACCATTGCCCCTGGAGAAATACGGGGTTAGGTTCCTTCCAGCCTCTGGTCACCCTGTCATCAATGAATCAATATATACCCTCATTTTACATATGACTGTTCTATACTGTTCCGGTTTCATTTCCATTGCAGTGGCAAAATACCCTGACCAAAAGCAATTTATGGGAAGAAAGGGTTTATCTGGCTTACAATTCTAGGTTACAGTCTCTCACTAAGGGGAAGTCAAGGCAGGAAGTCCAGCAGCCAGTCATATCACATCTACAATCAAGTGCAGAGAGAAATCAATAAATTCTAGCTGCCTTCTTGCTCAGTTGCTTGCTAGCTTCTTCATTCTCATACTGCTCAGAATCCCCTGCCTAGGGGATGGTGCTGCCCACCAATGGGCTGGGTCAATTAGTGATCAAGTCCATCCCCCACCACACAGACACGGACATGCCCCCAGACCAACCTAATGTAGTTAATTCCTCAGTTGAGGCTCTTCCCAGGTGATTCTAGATTGTACTAAGTTAATGATAAAAACTAACCAACACATATACCTTAATGTATTATTGATTCATTAACACTCAGCTCACAGCAGTGGCCCCTATAGTTTGTGCGTCAGCAATGCTTACTTGATGCACCTATTTTCTTTGTAAGTCACATCACAATCTTGCACTTAGAAACACTAGACAATTCTAGCCCCATGTTTGAGGGTCATTTTAAATAGCAAAATTACCCAAAATGCATCAAAATTTAAAACATGGCACTAAATAGATTACAGAAGGGACACTCACAAGATGAGAGCTAAAATAAGAGGCAGAGCAAGGCCTTGCTCAGCCTCAGTTGGGGATATGCACAGAGCCTGACAGATTTTTCACATAGCTCTGTATGCATCTGCATGACCACAAAGCACCCCAGGTGTTATCTGGGGGGTTCACAAATAAATTTCAACAACTAAGAGAATGTGCAGATAATCAAAGAATAGGGATTACCTGTGACTGCTTGACCATCAGCTCAAGTCATTGGCAGGAGTCAAAGTGTTTCACCAGGAAGCCTAAGCTCAGGCTGCCCACCCTTCCTGAAGAGCTCTGCATGCCAGGAGTGTTGGTTTCTTCCTGGAAAGAATTAGTTACTTGGGGCTGGAGAGATGGCTCAGTGGTTAAGAACACTGGCTGTTCTTGCAGAGGACCCGGGTTCGAATTGCAGTACCCACATGGCAGCTAACAACTGTCCGTAACTCCAGTTCCAGGGGATCTGACAACCTCTTCTGTCCTCCACGGGCATGACACAACACGGGTGCACCTACCTACCTGCAGTCAATATATGCATACATATAAAATAAAAATAATAAATATAAAAAAAGAATTAGTTACTATGCCCCCACTTCGCCTTGGGAACAGGGTCACCACTGAGTCCCTTTTGCTCTCTATTTGACTTTGACACAGCTTCTTCCTCCCCTCCCTGCAGCCATCAGCTTCCTCATAGAAACAGGAGCCCTGCTGCACTTCCCAGACACCAGTCATGGCCTGAGAAATCTCTACTTCCTTGACCCCATTTGGCTGTCTGAATGTCTACAGAGGATCTTCAACATCAAGGGCTCTCGTTCAGTGGCAAAGAACGGCGTGATCCGAGCGGAGGACCTCAGGATGCTGCTGGTGGGGACTGGCTTCACGCAGCAGACTGAGGAGCAGTACTTTCAGTTCCTTGCCAAGTTTGAGATTGCCCTGCCTGTTGCCAATGACAGGTGAGTCCACAGTCTGGAGTATGCAGATGACCAGAAGGAGTAGGGTCTGAGGCCTCTAGTGCCCTGAATGAGATTTCTGGGGGTCTTGGTTATCACCATCATGATGGCTAGCTCCTGGGGATGACCTATTGCCTGGCCTGGGACAGTAGGGTCAGCTGGCCCCACTCTGGCCACACTGTCCTTAGTGCCATGGGCTACTCTTTTCAGGAAGTTGAAAGAAATTCACTTATTGAAAAGGTTTAGAAAACTGTGCAAGAATGCCATTAAAAGTAGTTTGAGGGGGTTTGCATTGGAGGAGCTGGCTTGCTTATATCATGACTGAAAATAGTCTGTGACAAAGGTACACATGGCAGTAATACAACCTGGCCTCAGAATGCACTCTGTAATGATGAAGTCACAGGTAGCATTGGCATGGATGCCGAGAGTGGCTGGCTCAGTAGGCCCAGCTCTTCCCAGTCCTGAGCCACAAACAAGCCCTCTCTCCTCCCCTCTTCCCTTCCTTCTCAACACCTGCTCCTCCCTCCATTTCCCAGGCTTTTCATGTCTCACAGCCCCCCCCCAATTGCCCCTCCCGGGCCTCTACTGAAATTACCCCCAGCAGTCAGATCCTCAGTTCTGAGCAGCCTTCTCTACATGATGATTCTGCTAGCTTTTGTCTTGAATCCTCCTCAGCAGGCCCCCCCACTGCACTCGGCCCAAGCCATCCATCTAGTCATTGGTCTAGTCATTCCTACACTATCTTGCAGGAAGATCTCCAGATTTCATGAGGGGATTCCCCTCTAGAACCATAGGCCTGAGCCTCCATATTGCTGCTTCCTGACAGACTTGTGTTGCTTGACAAACATTTCCAAACCCCTCTTTTCTCTCCTCTGTTGCCTTGTCTCACTGGGCACACTTCCACACTTTCTCAAGTTCTTCTCTGTGCTCTCAACACCTGCTTCTCACTCCATGACTAGGATAAGAAGTCATTTGATGGGCTCAGGCTGAGGAAGCACAAATAGGCTCTGTTGAGGGTCTCATCTTCAGGAGAGGGACCCTGAACAGAAGAACAAATAAGGTATTTTCTGGATGTGAGGATGTAAGACCAGATGTTGAGATGGAGAGGCAGGATAGGGAGACAGGCATCAATCCAGGTGGCATGGAATGCCCTTCACCCAGGACCTGAATGGGCTAAAGAAGACCTAATGCCTTATTACCTGTATGCACTAGGTCACTTGTACAGCCCTTGTCCCACCTCTCTAACTGTCCCATTAGGTATCCTTCCCCCAGCCCACAAGGCTCAAGACACTGAGCCACCAAGTCAGGGCTGGGATTTACACCTATGTGTTGGGGGCCCCTAAGCTGTCATTGAACTTCCTTATATAGTCATCCCCTGTAGCCATTGGGGGATTGGCTCCAGCACACTGTGATGATACCACAGTCCAGGATTCTCAAATCCCTTATACAAATGGCATAGTATTTGCATAGGACCTACACACACCCTCCACATACTTTAAGTCATCTCTAGGTATCTTTAAGTGCTCCGTAAATAGTTGCTAGGGGAGTACTTACAAGAAAAAAAAAGTCATGTTCAGTAAAGATACAAATTTTTAAAAATATTTTCAGCCCAAGGTTGGTTAAGTCCATGGGTATGGAATTCATGAATTTGAAGGGACAAATAACATGTTAGGTGAGTCTCTTTTAGAAAGTTCTAAAGATATTTATTGGACTGAAATGGCTTTATTTTAAGAGGATTTGGAGAGCTAAAGGCAAAGCCTTTGTTAAGAAGAGTCCAGCTTCTGCATACTCAGGGGAGCTGCCTATGTCTCTCCTGGTCTGTGACCACCCTGTGCCTGCCCTGGGCCATCTCTCAGCTCACATCACACAGTGGATGCCAGTTTCCAGATGCATTCTTTCAGGGTCTTCCCAGCTGTCAGCTGTTTTGGATGACAACAGACAGGAACACCTAGGTCACGTGGTGACGTAACATTGTAAAGATGGCCAAGACCACTTGTGTTCTCATAAAACATCACTCATTTTGTGAAAAATCACCATGTTCTGACTTTTAAAGCAGCCGTGTTGTCGTCATTGGCCAAGAACAATAAACAGCTTTGAAGACCAAAAAAATTACTCTGACCCCAATATCTGTGTTGTCTTCAGAACTGTGCAGCTGTATTTGTTTTCCTCTATCAACCAAAGTCCGTGTTAAGTGATTCTCTCCAACTGCAGCCCAGTTGCTAAAGAAGCAATTCCAATTTTCTGCATCTGGCATTTTTATGACCAGCAATCCCTTCAAATCATCTTTCATGTCTTCCTAGTCTCTCAGGTCCTGCAAGGAGGGCCCTGGCCTCCTGAGCCTTGTCAGCAGAAGCTGCCCCACAGGCACATCTGCAGGAACCAGGGTCCTGCAGCAGAGCTCAGGCCATGCTAGTCACCATGGCTCCCTTATGTGTTTCAGCTACCTCCTGCCTCATCTCCTTCCATCCAAGCCTGGGCTGGATACCCACAGCATGCGGCACCCAACAGCCAACACCATCCAGCGGGTGTTTAAGATGAGCTTCGTCCCCGTTGGCTTCTGGCAAAGGTTCATAGCACGGATGCTGATCAGCTTAGCTGAGATGGACCTACAGGTAGGTCCATGGGAGTGGAGGAAGCTCCTGCAAGCACACTCTTAGGGGAAGAAGACATCCTCTGTGCTAGCTTTGTGGGAGCTGACCGAAGGCTACTTTCCTGCAGTGATATGGCTGATGCAGGGTTGGGAGATAAGCACAGTTCAAATTCATTGACCTCTCCTGGGAATACCAAGTCAGTACCTGCTTAGATAAAAATACCCCCTGCTAGAGCCATGGTTCCAAATGTGAGCCATCTCCAGATCACCTGTAGAGTTTGTTCTAACTAGAGCCAGATTACTGAGCACACACACACACACACACACACACACACACACACACCAGTTCTGGTACAGTAGTTGTGAACTGGACCAATCCAATTATTTTTCTAACCCTTCCCCAAGGCATGCAATAGGTCCTGACTTCAAAAGTGTGGTCCTACTGTCATGGCTATATACCTGGAATCAAAGTCTAATTGACACAGAGCACCCAAATTTTAAATCTTGTATACAAACACCCATGTAACAGTATTTTTTATTACATTGATCTGTGGGTGGGGAAGGGTATGTGTGTGCATTGGTGCATGTGTGGAGGTCAGATGACAACTTTTGGTTCATGTGTGGCAGTCAGAGGACAACTTGCAGGAATGGGTTCTCTCCCTCTACCATGTGGGTCCCAGGGATCAAACTTAGGTAATCAGGCTTGGCAGCAAGCAGCTTTACCCAGTAAGATATTTCACCTGCCTTTATTTTTTTAGACAAAGTCTCACCTTGAAGCTCCAGGTGGCCTCAAACTTGTAGCAATCCTCTTGCCTCAGCCTCCCAAGGACTGCCATTGCAGATATGCACCACCGTGCCCATTTTGCATTGCCCAGCTTTTGTAAGGCTCCCTAGTGATGACAGGCTTGGAACCACTGAGGGAGAAAGTTGACTTGCTTTGGTAAGAGTGAAGAGCCAACCCAAAGATGAGATCCTGTGGGTCCAGCTAGAATTATGCAAAGGCAGCCCAGCAGTCAGTCGATAGTAAATTCATACCAGCCAGTAACACAGAATATTTGCCTAGGGTGGTGGTTCAAAGTAGGGTTTCCAGACCAGCAAAATAGACTTCTCCTGGGATCCTGTGAGGAAGGGATGTACACTGTTTGAGCCCAACCCCAGATTTACCACCTCAGAAACTCCAGGATAGAGCCCAGCTATATTGTTAACTGACGAGCCCTCAGGGGATTTGTAACACACTCTATAGCTTGTGAACCCCTGGCATGCACTCTGACTGTTGAATGCTTTTGACGTTGATCTCTGCTTGAGTTTATTTTTGCCTCACTCTAATTAGAACACCCTTATTGAATTATAACTTCTTGGCTCAATACAGATGTTCTTTGATCTTCCCGTTTTATTAAGATAGGAAGAGAAATAAACGCAGCAGACTGAAAATCAATCGGAACTGCTGCAGTGTGTTTTGTGCTGGGGGGAATCTGTTTCCGGTGCCACAAAAGTACACTGGCTAACAGAGTGGGTGCGAAGGGCTGGCTCTCCTAGGCTTCCATCTGTCCCTCTGCCCTCCAGTTGAACTCTGTGTCCTGTCCTGTGTTCTAAGTGGGAGGTCACTGAGCCCAGCATTGTGGGAGGCTGATCTCATGAGAAAGGCAGAAGCAGGCAACTCAGAGCAGCATCCCTCATTGAAAAATCAATTCGGAAAGAAGTCTTGTTGAAATTCAGATGGAGAACAGGAGAGGAAAGAGTTCAACCTCATCGTTCATCAAAGCTATGCAGATCCCCACAGCAATGGCTCAGCTTTTCATCTGTCAGATCAACAAAGAACCAAGCAGGATGCCCAGCCCTGTTGGGCAGTGGCTGTAATGATAGTCTCATCTTTTCCAAAACCGCTGCCAGAGCCTTAAAACCTTTAGGCCCTAGACTAGTAATCCTATTGCTAAAGGTCTAAACTGAGGGAACCGTATGAAACCAGAGAAATCATGTGTACATTTTTCATGTTCATCATAGCATATTTGAGGGAGTAAAAGAGTGAACCCAAACTACACATCTAATAGAAGTGGTTCAGGAACTGAGGATACTTCCTACCCTTAGAAAAACAATGATTCTTAAGTGAGCTTTTAATGATATGGTAACCATCATGTTTTTAAATGTGTGTGTGTGTGTGTGTGTGTGTGTGTGTGTGTGTGTGTGTGTATGTGTGTGTGTGTTCAGTGATTCACCCTAGCACCTCGAGCATAATAGGCTAGCTCTACCACTGGGCTGCATCTGCAGGACAAAAACATGCAAAATTAGAAACACAATATGACTCAGCTGTTTTTTACACGTATGTGTAATGGGAAAAAATTCTGGACACACAGCTACCCAAATTTTAATGTTCTTTCTACTGGGTGTTGAATTGTTATTTTCTCTGTGTTACATTTTTCTCTCTTGTCCATGTTAGCTAATGTAAATTTTCACTTGTGAAGTGAGAGAGGAAGAAGTCTTTTGAGAACAACCAAAGCCTATTTCCGATCGTTTGGAAAATGTGTTCCCAGGGTACCCTGGAGACCCTTCCAGATCATGGAGCGCTTGACTTGGCAGCGGGGATGAGCAGCAGGCGTGGGAGGCGCGGGTGGGAAAGCAGTGGTGATTTATCAAGATGGGGCCAGCTCGACCTCCTCAGAGCTCTGCAAGGCCCAGTGCGGAGTCCGGAATACTTAAGCAGGGTCTTTTCTCTCTGTCTTTCAGCTTTTTGAAAACAAGAAGAATACTAAAAGCAGGAACAGGAAAGTCACCATTTATAGTTTTACAGGAAACCAAAGAAATCGCTGCAGCACATTCAGAGTGAAGAGAAATCAGACCATCTACTGGCAAGAAGGGCTGCTGGTTACCTTTGATGGAGGCTACCTCAGGTGGGGACTTGGGGAAGTCCACCTACCATGCTGCCATAGCAGTGGCCCTGTGCCAGCCCCCACACAGCGCCTCCCACGTCCAGAACTCTGCTCCTGAGAGGGGTTTATCATGACAGCTTGCTAAAAATGAAGACCCTCTCTTTGAGTGCCCTGAAGGTCCCCACCTCCTCACCCTTCTTCCACTCCTTCAGGATGCATCAAAGGCAGGTTTGGAAACCCCAGTATTTTAGGTCACTCTAGGTGGGGACTGTAGGGGAGTAGGGACAGGGACAAAGCAGGTTCACAAACATAGGCATATAAACAGAGGAGTCACCCCAACATTCTGCAGCTCACAGAACCCCTCAGGTTCCTGGGTGTTAGGACCACCCTTGGAGGCAGGGAGATCAGACTCAGTAGTTTGGCATTTGGCTTTTTCATTTCTGGGTTGCAGTGTGGAATCCTCTGATGTCAACTGGAAAAAGAAAAAAAGTGGAGGAATTAAAATCATCTGCCAGTCAGAAATGAGGGACTTCTCAGCAATGGCGTTTATTACAGACCATGTCAACTCCCTGATCGATCAGTGGTTTCCTGGTAAGAGAATGTTATGGAACCAAGCCTTTGATCTTACCATAGTTCTTTATAAATCCAAGTGGCTACGTCTTTGGAGAAGAAAATTCCTATCAGGATCCAGCCCTTTGCCTGAGAGGTGGGAAGCCAGCTGTGGGCTGAGGCTGCAAAGCTAAAAAAACTGTGACCCACAGGGAATGGATCAGAACTGGCTCTCCTGACTGTCCACAGTATATGGGGGGTAGGGGCAGTAATATTCTAGGTACCACACATGGCCCGAAGGACATGCTCAGTATGAATCATAAAGGTGTCTTGTGTGCATTAGACAATGGACCTGACATCAGACAGACCCAAAGGTGGAGCTCTGCCCCTGGTATAGGGGCAGGGAAGGCAGGGGCAGAGCTGCTAAGGGGCCAGTCCTTGTTCCCTGTATGTCCCTATCCTTTCTGGTGGTGCTCAAACCACCCATGTAGTCCTTCTCAGACTCTTTGGATCTGTTTGCCCATTGACAGTTCACCCAAAGAAAATACTTTTTGAAGTGAAGCCCTTGGGGTCCTCTGTTTTGCTACTGGGGTAGAAACTCTGTGCAGGCTTCAGGGACAAGGCTGTGAGGACAATAGCAGGGAGGCAGCTGTGGGGAGGAGCCTACTGAGTGAATTCTCTGCCTCTCAGCCTCTGGAAACCAGAGACCAAGCAATGGAGGATAGATTTGGGATCCCTTGCCAATCAGGCAAGCCTCTGTGAACTGACCCCCTCATATACCCAAAAGCCCAACATCCCAGGAGGGCATTTGGAAAGTGCTTAAGGAAGTGGCAGGATGTCACTCGATATACATCCTAGACATTGAGGTCTGGCTTCCTTCCCTCAGGGGTTCCTTGTGTGCTTGAAAGGGTGACCAAGATGGAAAATGACTTAGAAAGACTCTCAGATAAAGCCATCCAGTGTGAATCAGGGTGACTGGCAAGCTCTTGACCATTCAAGGGGGCTCTTTAGACACAGCTTCCCACCAGCCAGTACCCTGCCTCAGCAGGTGTTGGGGGATTTGACAGGTAGGCCTAATAGATGGGCACCTGAGACAGAAAGGTCTCAGCAAGCTGAGACAAGGTGTCCTAGAGCCAGCACCATGAGCCAGTAGCCAAGAATCCCTCCTGACAGGATTCCTGTGAATGTCAGATGCACCTAGGAAGCTCTAGAAATTCACTTGTACAAAGCAGGTCACTGTCCTGCTCCAGGGAACCTCAGAGGGTGTTTCTTAGCACCGTCTAGGTCAGAGGCACACAGAAAAATTCTACTTCCTGATAGGGGAACCCATATCAAATGACCAGCTTTCCTGTGATCTTTTGTACTCATCCCCTGCCTTACATTTCCCCTCAGAACATCCTAGGAGGCGTAAGTCTTCTGTTTTCTAATTTGCACTAACTGTGGTTAGGATAATAGAATGTAGCTCAGATTCAATCCTAGCCATGAAGACAGAGTCCCCATCTCTTTATCTTGCCCTCTTCTGTCAGTCTTCTTAGGACATAAGACCCTTTTGCTCGGAGTCTAGACCGTGGGGTAACCCCTCCCTGGCAAATCCTTTAGGATCTACTATTGCACTGTCATGTCCGAAAAGTCACCAGAAGCCACGTATGGTGCTGCATGCTGTAATCCCAGTACTCCGGAAGTATTAGTCAGGATTCTCATGTTCTCTAGAGTAACAGAATTGATAGAATTAGTACATCACACACACACACACACACACACACACACACACACAAGCGGGGAGGGGGTTTATTAGGCTGACTTGCACACTATGGTCTGGATATAGCACAATGGCTGCCTCATACTAGAGAGGCCAAGAATCCAAGAGTTGCTCAGTCCACAAGGCTGGATGTCTCAAGACCCAATCTGATGCTGAAGACCTAGAGGGTTCCTGGAGAGCTGCTGGTCTTCAGTCTACATTAGAATCCAAAAAAGTTGATTCAATATTGGTGAAGGAGTGCTACAGCAACAAGACAGATAAACTTGTCAATGAGCGTGAAGACAAGCAGGCAAAAACAAAAGTTTCCTTCTGCCATGTCTTTTTATATGAACTGCTGCAAGAAGTTGTCACCCACATTTAGGGTCCTCCAGCTTCAAGTAATCTGATCAAGAAAGTCCCTCATGCCAGGCATGGTAGTGCACGCCTTTAATCCCAGCACTTGGGAAGCAGAAGCAGACAGATCTCTGTGAGACTGAGGCTAGCCTAGTCTACATAGCTAGTTCCATGCCAGGAGACCCTGTCTCAGAAAAAAAAGGAAGAAAGGAAGGAAGGAAGGAAGGAAGGAAGGAAGGAAGGGAGGAAGGGAGGGAGGGAGGGAGGG